CTTCAAGAGATTATTTAGATATATCATTTATATCAAACATTGAAATATTTGAACTGCGTTAGATTTTTAATCCCATATCTTTGATAAAGTTATGTGTAGCAACACATCCAGAGACACTGGTATCAATGATTAAATTAATGATATTCTTTCCAATTTTTGCTTCATACTAGGCAGATGTGGTTTTGAGTTTTTGTCCAAGTAATACTTTTCTTTTTCTTTTCAGCTTGAGTGTTGTAGCATAGCATATTCCTTTTGATAATTGAGTTCTTTGTGAAGATGAGGTTTGAATAAGTTGAGCAACAGTTATATTTGCTTTTTGAGCCAAATCTTCTAGGATATTATATGGTTCAGTCATGGTAGCGAGTACAGGTAGTGCTATTTTACTTTTCTTTTTGCGAATAATTTTTTTGGTAAGTTCTTCTTTTACAGTTTTAGATAGTCCAGCATTATTCATATCTTGGTCAAGGATAACTTCAGGAATATCTTCTTGTTCTTCTTCTTCATCATCATGTGATTCTTTAATTTCATTAACTGTTTCTTTACGGAATTGATTTACAGATCTGATTCTGTAAGGAATAGTTCTGGAATTTCTGGATTTTCTTTCAGCAGCCAAGTATTCATGTATACCAAGTAGCAAATTTACATTATCAGATTTAGCAGTTAATATTTGAATACTATCAGTAAGAGCTTGTATTTGAGCCAATAATGCATTCTGATTATTATTTGCATTTTGGTTGTTGCTAGCATTTGCCTGATTTGGTGGCATATTATTTTGTTGCTGATTATTTCCATTCATTCTTTGGCGATTATTTCCAAAGTTATTTTGATTATTTCGGTATGATTGTAGTTTAGGACAATTAGGATGGATATGACCTGGCTCATCACAATTATAACAGGTTGAGACTGGTTTAGGGTTTTGATTATTAGACCTATAACCTGAATTATTTCTGTTATAATTGGATCTTTTGTTAGTTTTGATACTTTCTATTCATTGGTTAAGATCTTGAAGTGCTATCAATATAGCATTTAGTGTTGAGTTATCCTGGGACTGAGATTGATGATATCCTTGGGTTGGTATATCTGTATCGGCTTTCTCTACATTCTTTGTAACTTGTACCATATTTAAGAAGGTTCCATCAGCTGAGATCTGAATCCATTTTCTGATCTCTGGTTTCAATTCTCTTCTGTATGTTCAGATCTTATATTCTTCTGGGTATTCATTTTCTGAATCTACTTTATGAAGTAGATTAATGAATCTGTCTGTATATTCTTCTACAGTACCGGTCTGTTGCAAGGTTTCAATCTCATCTTACTATTGGTCAATTCTTTCTCTAGTACAGAAGTGAGCTACAAATTGATGACTGAAACTATGTGATTGGTCATTATTATCACTCCAGGCTGTCAGTCAGGTAACATCATCTCTTCCTCTTTTATCATATCATAAGGTAGCAGCACCTTCTAGATATCCTCTAACTAACTGTACTTTTCTAGTATTAGTAATACCATTAGCTTGGATGGTGATATTAAAATCTTTGAGCCACTCTGTCAGATCTTGATCATTTTCTCGGTATTTCCTAATTGGAATTATGATTTTTTCCATAGGCCGGTTATTTTGGTTAGCCATGTGATCAGTTAAAATTCCAAGAGCTGTAATAAGATTATCCAGGTTGTTTTGTGTCATTTGATTATCTTCTTCTTCTTCTGATTGGCTATTATCTTCTGAATTGGTTTGAACTTCTTCTTCTGAATCTGTTTGATTATCTGAAAAACTACTAGTTTCTTCTGGTTCTGGGAATATTGGTGAATCTTCTGAGTTTTTGGTCTCAGAGTAATAACCATCTATATCACTATGTACAGAAGAAGGTCTTGATTGGAAGATAAAGTCTTGGCGAATAAACCTTTGGTAAAATTGTTCAATAAAATCAAGTTGCTCTTCTTGAGTATTGACTCTATCAAATAGGAAGGTGTTTACTAGTTGTACTATTCTTTATCTCAATCAGTTAATATGTATTTGAGTAAGATCAAGTTGAATTAATTCTTAAAATAACAGATATGTGATTTGATTAATTGATACTGCTCTAATATATTCCATAAATATACGAAAAGTGACAAATTGTAAAGTGATATCAGATTGAAGAGAGTGACAATAGGGGCAATAATCTTGAGAGAATATTCTAATAGGGTAATTAGAAATTTGGTGTGCTTTAAAATGAAAATTAATAGGTAGTCCAATAAAAGAATAATAATTGATCATGAAAACTCAAGACACAAATATTATCAATTATAGATAAAGAAAGAAAGGGATAATAATTAAAAGAATTTAAAGTGTATAAAAATATAAAAGATATATAGAGGAAGTTTTCCTTCACAGAGGGGGCACCAAAAATATGTTACAGCGAATCAGTAAGTGGGTTTTCACTTTGATTCACCCTAACGATATAAAGTTAGGAGAGACTGAAATAATAAAAGGTAACGAGAGAGGAATTAGATTATAAATTTCAATAATGACAAAGATTTCTAAAGCCTGTGCCAATATCTACAAATATTGTCTTAATAAAGGGTAATAAAATAAAGAAAGAATAAAATAAATCAAAGAAATTATAAAGATTTCTAAGTGAAGCCACTAGTAATCAATATAATTCAAGATTTGAATTGATTAAATAGTATAAACTATTAATCAAAGAAGACTATAACTAAAATAAAAGTAATAACAAAGATATGAAAACTAAATAACTAAATAAACAAAAGAGTGTGGCTTATTTATAGTAGAGGTCGTCTATTCTTAAAAACAACAAAAGAAATAAAACAAAAAGTATGACTTATTTATAGTAGAGATCGTCTACTCTCAAAACAATATCAAATAAATCAAAAATCAAAATAATATTAATACAAAAATCCAAATCAACTTTATATGGTCAAAGAAATAAAATCGAGTGTAAGATAGGATACTAATATAACCAAATTATACTTTCCAAATAATTCAAACAAAACTATGAAAGAGTACTAATATAATTTATACATTCCAAATAAATTTTAACAAAACTGTTTATTTCAGCTGGGATAGCAGGTCCTTTTATACATTTTTCAGATACAAAAATCATTATAGTATTACTAACTAATACTATCTAATATACAAAATATAATTAAAGTACTATAATATAAATAATTATGAGTGAATTACGTCGAAGTATATTAAAAGATGTCAAAGAATGTTGAAGAATATCAGAGTATGTGAAAGGATGTTAAAAGACATGAAAAGATATGAGAAGATATTGAAAGATGTGGAAAGATGTGAAATGACATGAGAGAATGTCAAAGGATATCAAAGAATATGGAAAGATGTTTGAGATCATTATCCAAGTGTAACTATTCCACCAAAATTAAAAATAGTCTTTCACTATACTATTCTACTATGTACATGAATATCATAATATAAAATAATAAAAATATAGATTCTGAATATTAAATAAAATATAGTGTCATAAATAGAAATGTGATAATAAATATAGTAATAAATGATATAAAAAATAAGGATAATTATAAAATAAATAAAACTATAACAAAATGTAATATTTTATAACTAGAGAAAAATTAAGGAATTAAGAAATTTTATGTCACTACGGTAATACTATATTAATTTTTATATTAATTTTAATCAAATTTTATATAATAAAATTTTTAAGAACTAATAATTCAAAAAAGTTTATATTAGTAAAATTTTTTTATAAAAGATATATGATAAAAATTTTTATATTCAAATAAATTATAATATCTAATAACTTAATCAAATAAGACAAAATTAAAATTTTATTTTGAAAAAATAACCTATTAATATTTATTTAATATACTAATCTTTTTGTACCAGACTAATTATAAACTTTTTAATTAATAAAATCAAAAACTTTAATATACAAAAAAAATTTGTATTTTATCTTTTTTAATTATAAATTTAAATTCAATTAATTTCTTTAACTATTATATATGATTTAAATCTTTCTATAATTATTGCAGTTAAAAAAGCAAAATTAAGTGATTATAGAGAGATTTTTTTTAATTATAATTAATTAATAACTGAAAAATTCAAATAAGATAACTATAAAAAATATGATTATAGATTGAGATTATAAAAGATCTAATTATATTAAATAAATTATAATATATTTTGTTTTTTTAAATATATTTATATAATTTTTAAATTTTTTATTTTGAATCTGATTTTATTCTTTTGACTTACATAATATTAGATAGATTTATTAATAATTTGAATTTATTAATTCAATAAATATTTTTATAATTAATAATGAAAAATTCAAGATTGTTCAAAATTTTAAATTGATTTATTATTATATTTATTATTATATTATCAAATTCAAATTTATTAAATTAATTATTGAGAAATTCAGTTAAAATATCAAAAAGAAAATTATAAAGAAAAAATGAAAATGATAAATCTTAATAATATCAAGTATAAAATAAATCCTATATTAAACTATAAATTACAATTTTTATTTTGATATAAAACTTATGAATAAATTAAAGCTTAGATATAAATTTGATTTCCAGTTGCATTTCTTATAAGATTGTTTAGAAACTATCATGTAGATGTAATTTGGATTTGATTTTATCATATCCGATATCTAAATGGCAAGGGCGATAATAAAACAGATCCGCAATCAAAAGACGGGAATCTATCTTTATCATTTGTTTGAACGACACACGTGTTTATTAACACAGGGTGTACATGTTTTTTGTAACGATGGTGTCCTGTTACCGTTACATGTACATGACTTGAAATTTTAAGCTCAAATGACTGTTCAAAATTAGAATGAAAAAAGGGTTATTATATTAATCCATTCCATATTATAAATTACGAAAACACTCCTTTCTCATTACGTGTACGTATATCAATATCAATATTGTAATTAATCTTGGCACCACTTTTTTTAGAAATAACAAAACGACGACGACGACGACAACAACCAATACATACATATACCAAAATGAAGCGAAATAATAGTGGATTATTGGCAAAATCAATTTTTAATCGAAATCGATATAATAAAAATGAAAATGTTACCCATGATAACAATAGTTTTGCTGTTGATACGAAAAAATCTCGTCCAAATAAATCAACTTTAAAAGATTCTTTTCGTAAAACTTCATCCAATAATAAAATCAAGAATAACAGGAAGAAGGTGAACAGCGCAATGATTGCTTCTACGACCACAACGCCGCCAGAGTCAACAACAGTTACAAATAAACTTATTCAAAACAATGAAAGAAAATCAAATAATTCAAGAAAACGTTTTTCCCTGGGAAAACGGCTCAAAAAAGCAGTTTCATTACCAGTTAAATCATCATCATCACCGTCATCATCAAATAAATCAAAACAACAATCATTATTACTCCCAATTGAGACTAAGAATTTAACTATGGTAAAGGAAAACGAACTCAGCAATTCTCCAACTGAAATGGAAAAGGTGTCAATGTTAAATGATAAGAGTGAAAATTTATTACCGCACAAACTTCCTCCCACAATATCAACAATATTAGATGTTAATATTACTACAGATTCTTCTTCACCTTCAAAAAAAGAAGATAAAGATTTCTTATCCGCAACGTCACCAACTGCTCATTCGGAAATTAAATCATCATCAAATATCGCATCTCCGACAAATAGTGGATTGCGTTACGAATCATTGATGCCTTCACCCTCAGCAATTCACGTGAATATAAATCAAAATAAAATTGATTATAATGGAGCGTCCGATTCTTGCGAGAACAATAAAAAGAAAAAACAACGACCAAAAAGTGCTAACGGATTTCTTTTTTCTACTCAACAACTGGCTTATTCTTTCTTTAGACGTAATCGTAATCGTTCTTCTTCAATGTCATCAATTAATCAAGTCTCTGAAGTGCCTGATGCATTATCATCTAAATCACCAGGGAATACAAATCAGCAATCGGAACCTATTTTAACATATGAAAGTTTTCCAGATCCGAATTCGGAGGACTTTATTGATGTTGTACGTTGGGATTTGCCTGATAAGATATCGGCTACCGAAGATGCTGGTGGTGTTTTACAAATGATCGAGTTTGATGACATTTTTGTTAATGGGATCCGGGTTAATTGATTGTTATATATATACCGTATATTTAGAGATTTATTTTATTGCCAAACCGAGTTATTTATTAGTAATTATCTGAAAAATTTAATATTAGAATTTATTCATATTTTCTTAATGTTCTCAAGCACCATTAAATCAATACTGTATTATATCAAATTGAACTATTATTTCAACAAATATAAGACATGATTGACTTAAAATATCATTTGGACAGGAATAGAGAATTCAAAATGACGTAACTAATGCACGTACCTCATCTTCACGTAACTATTACGAAGTTCTATCCAATTTTGCAATTAATAAAACATGTTAGAAAAGACTGGTATTATAAAAGAATCTATAATAGAATCATTGCCATCACTCTTGAATGCATAGTTAATGTATAAAAAAAAAGACACGAAAGAACGAGAATATAATAATGGTTTAGTCATCAGTTAGATCTCAATATAAATCTCATTCTAATTAGAAATTCCAATAATAAAAATCACGAGAAATAAAAACGATACACTTTACACGACTTTTATCCAAAGTCTCCATCTTCTCACCATAGCGTGATGGGAAGGTTGAGACAAATCATGAGTAGCAAATGACCGTTTTAAGTTGATTATATTACATGCACCATCCTTCCATCACTATTCACTTCCAACTACTCGAATGAACCAATCAGAAAAAAGATAATTCTCTCATCTTTCATAGAATCATGTGCATGTACATGTACATGTATTAACGATATGAATTTCACAGAAATGTGATCATTTCAGTTGCTTAAATATTCATCAATAATTTTTCCGATTCATTCTTTATTATTATTAGTGGAAATTGATACCTATTTACACCATAAATTTCGTGTCACTATAGGGAATCATTATGTCGTTATAGAAAGATGAATTTATATGAACCATCTTGGCCATTTTTGTGTACAATCATTATGATTTATATCTTATTTATGGTTATTGGATTCTATCAACTACGAACATGTAGATGACCTTCTCTTCGGACAATGCGACGAATGCATAATGAGAGATATATAAATATCCTTTGATATATTAGAGAGTAGATTTTTATAGAATTCATAGCATTGGTTATACATAATTGATTGTGCGGCTATTTCTATCCCTGAAATTTTTCATTCAGAGATATCCACAAATAGATTCTTTCAATAACAGAATATGTTGCACATTCGATGGAAGATATGGTCACATACGAAGTTAATGATTTTGTGGCGTTAAATATAACAAATATGGTTCAAGTTTTGGGATGATAGCCTCGTCATTGTGGCAAGAGTTCTGGTGCGATATTTTGCGTCTTATTGTCGGCGAATGAATGGTCACTGGAAATTTCCGGGGCAGGATTCTTTTGTGTAATACTTTCTTCATCCAGACGCTTTTGACTCATAGGGTTGTTGTCATCTTTCGATTCAGAGGAGAATATGATATTCCTTATCGTGATAGGGGGTTTATTTTTTCTTATGGAAAAAGTTCATTCGCGAACCCAAAATTAATTGATTGAATTGGATATTTTTCACATGATACGCGTGAAAAATTCATTTATCTAATACACAGCTTGTGACTTTTTGGTGCTCTCTTGCTAGATGCATATCAATCTAAATACATGTAATAATAATGACAATGACATTTTAATCAATTCACCATTGAACTCACTTAAGATGGGAGCGAATACTAGTCATTGTAATTGAATGTACTGATTGTCGAAAGAATAGATACTGTGATGAGTGTTTAGTTCACAATACTCATGATTGTAGTAAATGTACTCGTTGTCAACGACGGTGAGTATGAGACCTGCGACGACTGTTTTGAATATCATAAACGAATTCACAACGATGAAATGTCTAGCGGAGATAAAGATATCGACAATCTAATAAAAGAATGCAACAAAATTAATTACGTATATGAAAATATATTCGAATGGATACCTTTTGAAAGATATACCAACGTTTAATATCTTGCAAAAGGAAGTTTTGGGTTAATTTATAAATCAATCTGGTTTGATGGACCATTAAATTATAGTATTCTTGATAAATATCCCAAGTTGGATCATGAAAAAAATAAATTTAAACGAAAAGGAGAAGCAAAAATTTTGTTGAAATCATTGCAGAATTCAAAGCAAATCACTCAGGAATTTATGAACGAGGTAAAAAATGACCATTTTCTAAAGTAAAAGTTGTTTTTGTTGCTAATACAATTAAATTTTTCAAAAATAGAACCAAACTGGGCTTAAATGCTATGATTACGGATACTTGATAGCATATTATGGAATGACTTGATAGTAATGACTTATGTGTTCTATGGTGAACTTCACAAACGTCAAGTGAACTCAAAAATGGAATCAAATACTCATCCTTGTAATGAATGTACTGATTGTCAAAAGAATCGGTACTGCGATGAGTGCTTAGTTCACGATACTCATGATTATAGTAAATGTATTCTTTGTCAAGTAGATAAGCGGTGCTATGAGTGTTTGAAATATCACAAACGAATTTATAAGGATGAATTGTCTAGCGGAGATAAAGATATCGATAATCTAATAAAAGAATGCAAAAAAATTCATTATGGATTATTTGAATGGATTCCTTTTGAAAGATTTACCAACGTTGAATATCTTACAAAAGGAGGTTTTGGAAAAATTTATAAAGCAACCTGGTTGGATGGACCGTTGGTTTATGATAGTGATGATAATAAAGACCAAAGCAAATTACTCCAGAGTTTGTGAACGAGGTAAAAAATGAGGATTTTCTAAAGTGAAAGTTGCTTTTTGTTTCTGATACAATCAAATTTTTCAAAAATAGATTCAGACTGCTCTGAAATGCACTGCTGATATTTATTTTAAATATTATGGAATAACTGAAAACTCAGTCATAAATGAATATTTGATAGTGATGGATTATGCAAAAGATGGTGATCTCCGTAAATACATTAATTACAATTACGAAAATTGGCTTGGTATAAAAATTACGTTATCGTTATTTATATGATATTATTGATAATCTGAAAAAAGCATCCACAGAGAGAAATTTGTACATCGTGACTTGCATCCTGGAAATATATTATTAAACTATAGTAGTCTCGTCTCGCATTACTGATTTTGGACTTAGCATTCAAGAAGATATAAAAAAATTTAAACAAGAAATTTGTGGAGTACTTCCTTGTATGAGTCCAGAGGTACTAAGTGGAAAGCGATACACTAACGCTGCAGATATTTATAGTTTTGGAATGGTTACGTACGAAATTGCAACAGGTGTACGACCATTTGGTGAACGAAGTCATGATATACATCTCGTATTAGATATCTATAAAGGAGTACCAAACAATGGTGTAAATTTATTATTGAAAAATGTTGGGATCCTATTCCAGAAAACAGACCAATTGCTGGTGACTTTATCAGATCTACCAAATATGACTATGGTACACTGAATGCTTTGCATTTTCAGTACTGCAGTTCTTTAGAATTTCCTAAAACAGATAAAGAAATTAAAGAATGTCTTAAATTAGAGAGACAGAAATTGAAAGAACTTGATGAGGAGATGAAGTCACAAAAAAGCATTCTCGCGAATATAAACATAAAACAACAAATCCATTCAAATGCAATTAATATCAATTCCAACTGTTACAGGTACGTACATTTGGTTTAGACTTAATCAAAATGACATTTCAGATTGATTTCAAATGTATCAAAAATTTAGGTTCTGCAGGTGTTAGTTTCTATGTTCCAAACGAAGGTAAATTAGTCTTACACGTGAAGATGATCAATCTGCTCACCAACGACAACCATTCCAGACCAAAGTGTAACGATTAGCAACGGCGGCGTTTATAATGTTCAGCATGAGGACATGAGGAAATAGAACAATTCCTCGAGTCTCTTAAAACTGAACCAATTTGGAGCAAAAACAAAAATTGGGCGATAGGCTCTTCCCAAAAATTTAAGCCGCAGTCAAGGTAATTTATTATTTATTTATGCTTGTAACTATCAAATTTCTAAATAATACAATTTAACAATGAGACCTTTATATATTCTTTTATTAGAGTCTTGGAATGAAGTCTCAAGCAAGCAAGGTAACAATAATTCTTCTCGATACTAATGGTCTCAATGATTGGCTCATTCGATGAACGATCCAGATAATTCCCGACTCGAACACTTCCGATATTTTTGTTTTATTATTTTTATACTTATGGAAGTCAAAATAGCTCTCTATATCAGACAAGCGTTACCCTATTATATCTATCTATCGACCCTTATTATTAAATCCCCATTCATAAATAACAATTAGATTCAATATATATGTACTTCCAATATATTTCCATTTTATTTCTTTTATTTTCTTATTATATAATCTTTATATTATAAAGAAAAGGATAACATTACTAATTACACAGAATAGGGAACAAGAAAATAAACTTTATATAGCACTATGTGGATCAGAGATATTATTACTTCTTTACTATTATGGGGACCAGGGATATCCTTACTGCAAGGTAGATGGATGGTCCAATTACCATATTTAAAATTAACGATGCATTAAATTATTTTACGTGCGATCAGATATGTGAAAAATAAAAATCAAAGATACATGATTTCGATATATTTTCAAGATTGCTGTGTTAATGGGGAGACTTGCATTTGCGAATATAATGAATTTACATCCATTAGATTGATGAGATGAAAGCGAACCAAGTTATACTAACTTTTCTTTTCATTATTACGACGAGTATCTCGATTCTTCATATAACGATTCGCTATCTAAAAGCACTGGAATTAGATAATTTTTCTTCAAATTACAATCTGCGGTTTATTTAATATGAAAAGATATTAAAAATATCAATTTTGGCAAAAAACGAAAAATGAACCAGAAAACCCTATAAAATACTTGGTCTATTAATAAAGCGGTTTAAAACTAAAGGGAGGAAGAAATAATATTATTATTAAGACATCAGTTTTTATGCCACATATAAACGCGAAGTTTACACGTGCAATTACACGTCATATACGTAACTTCACAAGTCACAAACACGTGGGGATCTCATCTCATAGACCACAAGGGAGCAAATAACACGCAATTGGGCATCCATCTACCTTGCAGTAAGGATATCCCTTTGGTATGTGGACCCAATAATAACAAAAAAGTAATAATATCTCTGATCCACATAGTGCTATATAAAGTTTGTTTTTTTGTTCCCTAGTTTATCTTCATAAGTAAAGATAATATAGAAACTATATAATAAAAGAAATAAAATGGAAATATATTGGAAGTATATTGAATTAATTATTCTTATTATGAATGGGAATTTAATACATGTAATAAGGGTCAATAGATGGATATAATAGGATAACGCTTTTCTGATACAGAAAGCTATTTTTGCTTCCATAAATATAAAAATAATAGAACAAAAATATCGGATGTTCAAGTCGGGATTTATCTGGATCGTTCATCGAATGAGCCAATTCACGGAGACCATTAGTATCGAGAAGAATTATTGCTACTTTGATTGCTTGGACTTCATCCCAAGATTCTAATAAAAGAATATATAAAGGTCGCTTTCCTCATGTATTGATGCTGAACGTTACAAACGTCGTTTCATCGTTACACTTTGCTCTGGAATGGTTGTCGTTGTTGTTGCTAGTGATTTAGCGTGAGGAGTGGTAATAGATTGATCGTGTGATATACTAACATCGAAATCTTTTATCACCATAGAAAAATATCAAATTAAAGAAATTGATGAAAAGAAAGTATATCAAATGTAAGTTTACCTTCACTTGGAACATACAAATTAACACTTGTAGAACCTATATGTTTGAGATATTTAAAATCAATCTGAAATTCATTTTGATTGAATATGTATGTTACCTGTATCAGTTGGAATTGATATTAATTCTGAAGTAAACATTCGACTGGTGTAAATTACATTCGAGTGGATTTGTTGTTTTTTGTTTATTTTTGTAGGAATGTTTTTCATTTCCTCGTCAAGATCTTCCAATTTCTGTCTTTCTAGTTTAACACATTCTTTGATTTCTTCTTCTGTTTTAGGATATTCTAAAGAACTGTAGTACTGAAAATATAAGGAATTCAGTTTCCGCCAATCTTTAGGATCATAGTAGAAGAGTTCGATAAAGTCCTTAAGATTCTCAGCAGTTGGTCTGTTTTCTGGAATAGGATCCCAACATTTTTCAATAATAAATTTACACCATCCGGGAACATTGTTTGGTATCGTAGGTCGTACTCCTTTATAGATATCTAATACGAGATCTCTATCATGACTCCGTTCACCAAATGGTTGTTCACCTGTTACAACCTCGTACATAACCATTCCAAAACTATAAATATCTGCGGCTTCAGTGTATGGCTTTCCATTTAACACCTCGGAACTCATATAAGGAAGTATTCCGTAAATTTCTTGATTCTTTATGTCTGTTGGGTCGATTAGGCCAAAATCTGCGATGAAAGCATCACTATGTAATAATATATTTCCAGGGTGAAAGTCACTATTCACAAGTTCCTTTTCGTAGATTATTTTTAGTGCATAGATAATACACAATAAATATTCTAACTTTTCTTCCCAAATCAATTCTCCGTAGTTGGAATTAAGATATTTGCGAAGATAATCTGGATAACCCATTACTATTGAGTATTCATTTGTAGTTGGGTTTTTAGTTATTCCATAATAGTTTATTCCAAAATAATCATCACTGTACTTTAGAACAGTCCGAATCTATTGTTGAATAGTTTAATTATATTAAAAAAAGTCTTGTTTGCACATAAAAAATTGCACAATTTCTTTTACCTCCTTCATAATTTGATTTGAACAATTTGAACCACGTAATTTCAACAAAACTTCGCGTTTATTGTCGTTGTTAGATCGTTTAAATTTATTTTCTCCGTGATTCCACTTGTAATAGTATATTGATGCTTTATAAATGCCTTTTGAAAGACATTCAATATTGGTAAATTTTTCAAAAGAGATCCATTGGAAATGACTTTTGATATTCATGCATTCTTTTATTAGACTGTCGATATCCTTGTCTTCGCTAGATAATTTAGCTTTATAAAATTGGTAATAATCAAAACATTCATTGCAACGATCGTTTTCTTGACAACGAGTGCATTTATTAATCTCATGAACTTGTAATTGCTCTTTTAAACTGGCACTTGTTAATTTGGCGTCATCTATATCACATGCAAACAAGCATTTTTTTAATATCGATTTTTATTGCATTTTTTTTTCAAAAATAATGAATTTTACCTTCATTTGATACATATAAATTGACGTTTGTTGATTTGGTATTGGTATCGGTATCGTTATCTATATCAAATTCCGTGGAACAAATATTTTTTTAAATACAAATATATAACGATAACTTATAACAAATATGATGAATTACCTTCATTTGGAATATACAAACTGACACTTGTAGAACCTAAGTATTTGATATACATGCATTTGAATTAATCAGAAATGTTATCGTTATCGTTATTTGAATATTAAAATAATGTACGTACCTGTAGCAGTTAGAATTGATATTAATTTCGAAGTAAAGATTCGACTCGTGTAAATTGCATTTGGGTGGATTTGTTGTTTTTTGTTTATTTTTGTAGGAATGTTTTTCATTTCCTCGTCAAGATCTTCCAATTTCTGTCTTTCTAGTTTAACACATTCTTTGATTTCTTCTTCTGTTTTAGGATATTCTAAAGAACTGTAGTACTGAAAATATAAGGAATTCAGTTTCCGCCAATCTTTAGGATCATAGTAGAAGAGTTCGATAAAGTCCTTAAGATTCTCAGCAGTTGGTCTGTTTTCTGGAATAGGATCCCAACATTTTTCAATAATAAATTTACACCATCCGGGAACATTGTTTGGTATCGTAGGTCGTACTCCTTTATAAATGTCGAATACGAGATGTATATCATGACTTCGTTCACCAAATGGTCGTTCACCCGTTGCAACTTCGTACGTAACCATTCCAAAACTATAAATATCTGCAGCCTTAGTATATGGCTTTCCATTTAACACCTCGGGACTCATATAAGGAAGAACTCCACAAATTTTTTGAGTAGATTTTTGTATATCTGCTTGAATGCTAAGTCCAAAATCAACAATTCGAGGAAACTCATAATTATTGTTATGACTCATTATGCCCAACGATTTCATTAATAATATATTTCCAGGATGAAAATCACGATGCACAAATTTCTCTTCGTGAATTTTTCTCAGTTCATTGATAATCTCATATAAATAGTCTAATTTTTGACCCCAAGTCAATTTTTCGTAGTTGGAATGAATATATTTACGGAGATCACCATCTTCTGCATAATTCATCACTATTGAATATTTGCTTGTGGTTGGGTTTTTAGTTATTCCATAATATTTAATAAAATTAGAGTCAGAGCATTTAAGAGCAGTCTGAATCTATTTTTGAAAATTTGATTTTATTAGAACAAAAAGTAATTTTCACTTTAGAAAACGTTCATTTACCTCGTGTATAAACTCTGGAGTAATTTGTTTTGAATTGTGTAATGATTTCAACACAATTACACTTTTTCCATCTCGTTTAAATTTATTTTCTTCATGGTCCCATTTGTCAATTCGTCCATCCAACCAGGTTGCTTTATAAATTGATCCAAAACCTCCTTTTGTAAGATATTCAACGTTGGTGAATCTTTCAAAAGGAATCCATTCGAATATACTTCGATATTGATAATTAATTTTGTTGCATTCTTTTATTAGATTGTTGATATCTTTATCTCCACTAGATAATTCATCGTTATAAATTTGTTTATGATAAAAGAAACATGGCACACAGTTTTTATTTTGTTTGCATTTAATACATTTAATACAATCATGCGATTCCGTCTCTATAAAATAATTATTTGGAACTGGGTTTTGAGTTAATCCGGACTCAAAATACCACTCAAATGCTTTTTTCTCATCTTTTTGTGTTCCGATTCCATTTTCATAACACCAACCAAGATTAAATTGTCCTAATGCATTTCCACCCTCCGCTGATTTCAAGTACCACTCAAATGCTTTTTTCTCATCTTTTGGTGTTCCGATTCCATTTCGATAACAAAAACCAAGATTATCTTGTCCTCTTGAATTTCCACCCTCTGCTGATTTCAAGTACCACTCAAATGCTTTTTTCTCATCTTTTGGTGTTCCGATTCCATTTCGATAACACCAACCGAGAAGACGTTGTCCTATTACGTCTCCACCCTCTGCTGATTTCAAGCACCACTCAAATGCTTTTTTCTCATTAGTGTTTGATTCCATCTTTAAGTTCAGTGGAATAAAATGAATTGATTAAAACAAACGATAATCGTAGTCGTTTTCCAGTTATGGGATGCACATGTATTCACACATGAGTTTGTCACACATAGAATTTGAATCACATTATGAAATTTTTAACGTCGTCGTCGCCGCATAAACCACCCGGGATCCGATTCATTCAACCTAAAAAGGAAAAGGTGGCACGTTTTTGCAGCAAATAAAACACATGTACAATTGTTGGGATGTCGGATGTAGTTATCGGGATATTGGACATCACCGTAAGTTCTCTCTATCTAAATGCAAAAGTACGCTAGTACATGACATGATTGATTCATCTTTAGGTATTTACTCCTACGATTTGCTCTTGGGATTAACGAATGAATGGTTTCGTCATTCGGGTTTTAGATATTGGAACTTATTAGTTATCAATTCAATGATATCCAGATCGCAC